CCCCAAAACCCCAAAACCCCAAAACCCCAAAACCCCACTTCTCTGCCACTGGCTGAACTCTTATTTCTTAAAATCCAACTAATATTGCTTAATTACTCTTCTCCTTCCTCTACTTCATCCAATATATTTTCTCCGACTTCTTCTTCTGATGAGAAGTCCTGCTGGTTGTCCAAAGCTGTAGGTGCCACTAGGATACTAGAAATATCCTGAAATTCACCTATCTTAGGCATCTTGTTCTCCTTCTTGATCCCCAGATTTGACTTGATTGAGTTGAGAGCTTCATAAGCGTTAAGAGGTTTCTTCTTGCTTTGGGAGAGACTGGGTTCAAGGGATTTGGAGTTTTTCTCTTTTAGGAAAGCGTAGTCTTGAACACCTGGTTTTGGACAGGAGGACGCAGGTGACATTCCTAAGGGACCATGTCCGTTGTTGTATACTCTAGAAGGGGTTAGGTAAGGGAATTAGATACTTTTGGTAATCTTTTGATAATCTTTTGTAGTTGTCATTCAAAACCTTGTATTTTTCTTCAGAAATTCTATACTTATTCTTATATTCTGCAAGGTCTTTGTTGACAGTTAAGAATTTCTGCTCCAAAATCCTGTAATTTGACAACAGCTTTTCAGAAAATAGTAATGGATCTGTATCTTTTATAGGAATCAGCTTTTTGATATTTGTGATTTTATCTGTTGAAGCTTTACTGTTGTCAAAAACTGAAAGATCTAATGCCTCAAAAACCTTGCTCATATCTTTAAATTGATCAGATATGCTCTCATCGCCCATTGCAAGTAATGAGGGCCTCACCTCTAATGTTTTCCTGAGATTTCTATTCTTCACCTCTAATTCATTAATCTTTTGGTTAAGTTTATCATTTTCTTCAACAAGTTCTTTGATGTGCTTGCTGAGATTGTCATTCTCAAGGACAACGTTGGTTATCTTATTTCCTATTAACGTCAGGATTTAGTTTGAGGCCTTTGAGTTTCTCCCTGATGTTTTCATCAGATCTGCCCAGTTCTCTGAGGAACTTCTCTCAATCATAAAGTCTAGATTCAAGTAGCTGAAGTGTGTATTCTTTCTTCTCTAAAGCTTCTACTACTCTGAAGTTCTCAGCTTCAAAGAAAGCAATGGTTTCTTCTTCTTTGGACTTATTTGTCATTATTTACTTGTTCAAGGAGGAGATTGCCCGATTTGAGCTCTAGAAATTATAGGCAAGCATACCATCTCGCTCTCTCTTTAGGTTTTTAAGTTGCTCCCTTAGATGTCCTGATTCAGAACTGAGTTCTTGGATTACTTGAGTTAATCTATAATTAAAAGCTTCGTTTACTTTTTGGTGTCATCACTGGTAGCCATTGGCTCTGTGAGAACACTAATCATGCTTTTACTCAAGCTGAGAGAAGTCTCTACATCTTCAAGATCCATTGAAAGATCCTTGTTCTCTTTTTCAAGATACTTTATTGTTCTTGTAAGTTGTTCTATCCTCATATTTGGATTTCTATCTGTGTAACACTTTTGCTCAGAGTTCAGATCTGGAAACATTTCTCTTATTTTAGGAATAATTCAAAATTATATTAAATAGTTGGGGTTTTGGGGTTTTGGGGTTTTGGGGTTTTGGGG